CCAACAGTGGAACTCCAGTGGACACAGGCTTCCAGTCACAAAAACATCCCTCGACCATCATCCATCTGCTTCCTGCTACTCAGACAGTTCTGGATCCAACTAATCAAATTTCCTTGGTTCCTGTGGGCTCTTACCTTCTCAATCAATTTCCCATGCAGGACCTTATCAAAACCTTACTGAAATCTAAGTAGACTACGTCAACTGTATCACATTCCTCTACACAGCTGGTCACCTCTTTGAAAGATTCAATCAAGTTGGTCAGATGACCTCCCCTTAACAAAACTGATATAAGTGATAGATTAACAGACATACCAGCATTGGAGGCAGTCCAGAGTACAGGCTGGTACCATGGGGAGAGATTGAACAGGTTGGGTTTGTACTCGTTGGAATTTAGAAGAATGAGAAGCGACCTTATTAAAACATGGATGATTCTTAGTGTGCTTGACAGGATAGATGCAGAAAGGTTGTTTCCCTTCATGGGAAAGTCTATGACTTAATCTCACAATAAGGTGTGGTGCATTTAAATCAGAGATGAGGAGAAATTTAATCTATCAGAGGGTGGTGAACCTGTGGAATTCTTTAATGCAGAGGGCTATTGAGACGGGGTCATTAATTATATTCAAGACTGAGACAGGCAGATTTTTCATCAGTGAGGAAATCATGGGTTAAAGGGAAAAGACAAGAAAGACAGGAGTTGAGAATTATCAGAGCAGCCATGATTTCATTGAATGGTGCAGCAGACTTGATGGGCTGAATGGCCTACTTATGCTCCTACATCTTATGGCCTTTTACGCTAGACATTGGTACAGAGATATTGAGCAGGGCGATATGTTATGGTCTCATTCATTTCAGATCATAAGCTATTCTGACCATATGACATAGCCAGTGGTTTTTCTGTTACTCCTCAGTGTTAACCCTTTCATAGCTTTTCAGACCCATATACAGCAGCATGAGGAAATACATTTTTACACAGAGTCTAGAATACACTCCATGAGAATGTGGTGGAGGCAGATTCAAGTGTGGCATTAAAAAAGAACTGGCCACTTATTTGAAGAGAAAATTTTACAAGGCTACAAGGAAGTGGTGAATAGGTTCCTTCAAAATGTTCAGCACTTGCGTTTCTGAGGTGTAGTGGCCATCACATTCATGTAACATGCCAAAGGTTGTCAGTTGGAAACTAAGCAGAAACATCAATATCACTTTAAAGGGGACACTTGTGGTGCAGTGACAATGTTCTTACTTCTGAATCAGGAAGTCTGGGTTCATGTTCCACTTGCTCCAGAGGTGTGTCATATCAGCAGTTCAGACCAAACAACACATGCTATACTGGGCAGGATAATCTCTGAGACCCTCGTGCTCCTCAGGGATATGATTGCCTATGTGCAGGATAGGGGTGAAGACTCCTGCCTCATCAGTCTTGACCAGGAGAAGGCCTTTGATAGGATAGCACACACCTCCATGTGCAACATGTTCTCCAGAATGGGCTTTGGTGAGGGGATCCCAAATTGGATCCAACTGCTCTACACACACTCACACACACACACAGACACATACAGACTCACACACAGATACACAGACACACACACACACTCACATTATTGTTAGTACCGTCTCAATGAAAGGATGGGAATCAGAAATCTTCCTGATTGGATTTGGAATCAAGCAGGGCTAAGCAGGGCTGTCCACTGTCTCCTGTCTTGTTTGTGTGTCGCATAGATCCTTTTCCTGACTCGATCAAGAATGATACGAGCCTAAGATAGTTGACTGCTCCAGGCAGTGAAGGCCTGCAGGTCAAAGCTTCCCTGTACATGATTGATAGCACAGTTTTCTGCTCAGATCTGCTGTGAGTGCATTGACTCGTGTGCATCTGCAACCAGTTCGAACTGTCTCGGGAGCCAAGGTAAATTGAGACAAGAGGAGGCCATATTCTTTGGAAACAGATTACTTAAAGGTGCTGGGAATATGGTTCACAAGGGCCGGGGCACGCGTAGAATCTTAGGAGAAGTGTATGGCCAAGGTGAGGCAGAAACTGGGCAGATGGGAGCACCACTCCCTCTCCATTGTGGGTAAAACATGGTCATTACGTGTGAGGTACTCCTGTTGTTGCTGTGTGTGGCACAGATCTGGCAATCCACAAGCCTGTGCAACTGTAGTCACCCAAGCCATCTTCAACTGCATCTGGAGGTCAGAAATGGACCGTGGCTGCAGTTTTACCATGTACAATGCTCTGGATAAGGAGCTAGGATGTACACAACACCTTTGTGTGTGGCTGCATCAAGCTGGGCATAGATATTCGGTACGCAAACACCAACAGTCACCATGTACTGAGGTTCTACCTGCCCCTGGTGTTGTGAAGGATGGGCCTGGCCTCAGTGCCATGGAATGCTCCAAGTAGTTGGACCATTCTGTAACAGTGAAAAACACTCTTAGCTCTTCCAGTGTAAGGAGTTGACCTTAACGTATCGGATGAGAGTGAGAGTCCTCCAGCCAGCGGAGGCGCTGCTGTATCGGATGAGAATGAGAGTCCTCCAGCCAGCGGGGTCG